ATTTGTAACGATTTAGGGTTTTCTCGGTAGGCGAATTTTGTTACTAAACATCTAGTAAATAACGAATTAAACGTGTTCTTTTCAATGAGATCCATTTTGGTCGTCATTTAATTAATCTACAATGATAAACCAGATTTTCCGAAGGAATAAGCATAATGAAAGTTTGATTTTATTGGTTATTTTTTTCTATCACTATTAAAAAAAGTTAAATTGCGAAAAAAAAAACTTTATCAGTTACGTGCTACAAATAACAATATGTTGGTATCGACTTAAAATATCATTTTATAGATCCTTTGATTATGTAATTGGTTCTTATTACTTATCGTTATAGCAGATTTCTTTATTGACTATACTGTACTATATATTAAAGTAAGACCATAATTGTCAACTATTAAACCTAATATATAGTGAAAATCCACTTTATTTGGATGATAGCGGGTTTACTAGCTTGTAACCTTGCAATACGAAACACATCATATCAGATATGCGTTAATTTTTAAATATTAATTTTTTGATTTTCGGTCGATGCGGTTGCAATTACGCAATTACACGAGCAAAATAAAGAAATGCATATAACACCTGTAGGAAAAACCTCAAAAACATATGTAGGAAATTTAATTGGCGTATGAATTATGAAATTATAATAGTGATTATAATACGTAGTGAACTTCTTTAATTAGTATTTAAATTTGCCTCGTAGAACTTTGTGATCTAATTATTTAGACATAAGAATTTTTGTTTAAATTTATAATTACAAACTAGGATCTGACGTAATGTTTTTGTTCGGTTAAATTGAATCCGACGTAAAGAATATATATTGAGAAATATTCAAATAAAAATATTGACCAGTAAATTAAGGATTTAACTAATTTTATGCATAATGATTATACCGTTTAATGCATTGAATGTCCGAAGGCTATCATTTTAAATTACATGCCTGAAAATTAATTTTATTCTAGAGTCTTTTACTATCGGCCATATCTACGAAAAAGTTTGGTTAATTTACGGCCAAAATTAAAAATTCAAATGATCATTTGCCTAAATTATATTAGTGTAGGCCAAGTATCGTTTGTCATCCGAGATATACTTTTTCTAAATATGGAGTGGTAAACGTGAAGTGGAAAAGTTAATTAACTGATCTAGTATTAGTAGAATTAGTCTAATCTAATTCTAGTCTAAGACTGGTTTAGACCAGTCTTTTACTAATATAAGCCATTTTCTATATAGTCAATACATATAGTCAATATGATAAAACTTTTGATATTAACGTTAATGAAGCTGATTATTATAACTATAGAATTGTTGATATCAATTCAATCTGGATTAGTCTCAGGAAAACCAATTAATATTAACCTAACTATAACAGAACTATAACAGGATCGAAGAACATAGGGGTACGTATCGGGTTGAAAGTGTCCATATGATCAGGCAAATCCGGTTTACATGGAAGGAAAATTCTAAAAGGAATATTTTTACTTTTTTTGTTTTTTTTTACTTTTCTATGGGAATATATTGAACACATTGGCTAGTTGATTTGTTATTAAATAACTTAATATTATAAATACTATAAATGCTATAAAATACTATATAATAAACTTTCTTTAAATGCGGATCATAGGGACTGATGCATTTAGGGAGAATAGTACGTACGTACGTCATACGTATCAATAGAGTTGTAGATGATTCACATATGCGCATACATTCAATTCAAAAAAACCACAAATTTTGCTTACGTACGTATGAAACAGTTATAGCACGTGAGAGGAGAAACAGTTATAACATGTAAGGGGAGAAACAGTTATAACATGTGAGGGGGAAATATAATATATTCCAATCAAAGTGTATGCGCATCAATAAAATTAAATGTAACCATTGTTATCAAATTGAAAATGATTTTTTATATTAGAGAGTCAAACATTTACAACATTATTTTAGATCGACGTGTTTTAGCTTGTTGTGGTTAGTAGTAAGTCTTTAATCCGATCATTTAACCAGATTAACAGTAAATGCATTCAAATTATCAAATTATCCTTTTTTATATACGTATTGTAGATAAAGTAGTTTAGCTAAACTTTAAAATTTTTAACTTTGTGATTCACCTACGTATGATTAAATGCATTTTCATGATCTTCATCATCGAGTAAAACGATATCTCTCTTAATATTTTTTAACATTTTAAATATTTGGATTAAATAAAATGAATCCGTTAGATTTATTTCTGAACGTTATCAGCGTATGATTCTCCTATATAATTATGGTGTTATTAAATTACGGTTTGGCTAATGATGTTAGACCTATTAAACACGTTAAACATATTAGACTATTTTAGACCATATTATACCATATTATTCGTATTAAACCATATTAGACCGTATTATACCATATTAGACTATATTGGAGATCCTCTAAATATATAGTTTAAATTGTAAAGATCCACCAAGGAATCAAGAATTGAAATCAAGAATTGAAATTAAGAATTGAAAAGATGGTTTAAATCGTACATAAGTATACGTATACGTAAGTACGCATATACGTATATACACGTACGTATGTGCATATACAGGGATTGCTCTGAAATATATATGTTATAAACGATACGCCCTAAGGGCAAGCTTCTTATACATTATACATTTCGTAACTTTCATCTGTAAAACTTTTAAGATAGTATGAATATGTAATTTCCCATGAATGATAAACATTTATTTAAATTTAATTATCATTACGCGCATAACGCATAATTTATTCCATACTCCTAAATTAGAATTGATGTACAGTACATGCGATATCTGAAACATCTACGAAGTACAGAGAAAATTCTAAAATATTAACTATTAAGAACTAAATATTAACTGTAAGGAACTAAATATTAACTGTAAGGAACTAAATATTAACTGAACTAAAAATGATAAAGCTCCGAAATAATAATTGATGAAAAATTTTATTGAAATAAATTTTATTAAAAAAAAAATGACAACAGATCTTTAAATAAATAAGTAAATATAGGAATAATATAAAATCCTAAATCAAAATCAAAATTTCGATACATATATTAATAAGTGATCACATTTTATAAATCACATGTTATATACGTATGAGTGTGCTATAAATACAGATATAGATATGTAAACAAATCAAACTTGCATTATCAAAAAAAAACCAATCTTGAAAATAAAATGGGTCATTCACAATCAAAATTCTTTAATCAATTTCTATTCAAAAGAAATAATAGAAAGGTTACTAAAAGAAGCGAAAATTCAGAGTGTAATAATTCAGAGTGTAATGATTGTAATGATAAAAGAGTAGAACAACAAATTAATATGAATAAAGAACCATCAACTTCAACGATCTCAGTAATCGATGTTCATAGGTTCATTGAAGGTCGAAGGTTTCGGATTTCTATGAATGCCACATATACATTTCCAAGTGACTACAAAGAAGCTACACGGTTTAATGAATCTATTAAACTTATGAAACGATTATTTAATTATAATTATTCGGCTCCTGTTGAACAATTATTAATAAATGGTGCAAAAGTACTTGAAATCGGGTTAGTAAAATTTATTATTTAACTAGTAATGTTTAACTAGTAATGTTTTAACTAGTAATGTTTAACTAGTAATGTTTTAACTAGTAATGTTTTAACTAGTAATGTTTTAACTAGTAATGTTTAACTAGTAATATTTTAACTAGTAATGTTTAACTAGTAATGTTTTAACTAGTAATGTTTTAACTAGTAATGTTTAACTAGTAGTATTTTAACTGTAATGTTTAACTAGTAATGTTTTAACTAGTAATGTTTTAACTAGTAATGTTTAATCCCCGATCACTATATCAAGATCACGGGAGGATTAATTAATAATATCCTGACCGTATGTGAATA